TATATATATATATATATATATATATATATTTATATATATATATATATATATAAATATAATTATATATAAATAAAAAAATTTTTAATAAATAAATATATATATATATATATATATATATATATATATATATATATATATATATATATATATATATATATATATATATATATATATATATATATATATATATATATATATATATATATATATATATATATATATATATATATATATATATATATATATATATATATATATATATATATATATATATATATATATATATATATATATATATATATAAATGTATATATCTTTTTGAAGTCATTAATGCTTCGGAAGAGCTGTTGCATCACAACGTTTTCAGAGCATTACATCAAAAGTTTCAATTAAAATACCGATTAAATATTTCTGTTCATTGAAATTTGTACGAGTTAAGTTAATTTGCGCAGGTGATACTTCGATTTTCCTTCAAAATTATAAATTAGTTTGAGATCATTACAACCTATAAAACATTAGCTTATGTAATTATCTGTTATTTATTACTGACAATATTGATTTTTTTTCTGCCCTCGGGGGATATTTCAGGGAGACAAATTTAAAGAAGCTGAAGAAATATTCGATACCTTGCTGGATAAAGAGAAATCACCTCTAAAACCGGACCAGAAAATGTTCCACATGATGATTTATATGTACAAGAAGGCAGGTAATTACGAAAAAGCTCGTAAAATATTTTCGATGATGCCTGAGAGAGGTGCTCCGCAAACTACAGTTACTTATAATAGCTTGATGTCGTTCGAAACTAGCTATAAGGAGGTCGCAAATATCTACGACCAGGTATATTTAAAAATTATAAAAACCTTGAAAAAAAAACAAATTTGGCCCTTATAATGCATACAATGAAGTTATTAAATTTTATAATTAAATTTGTAAATTTTAGATGCAACGAGCGGATATTCGACCTGATGTTGTGAGCTACGCTCTGCTAATTAATGCCTATGGAAAAGCTAGAAGAGAAGAAGAAGCTTTAGCTGTGTTCGAGGAAATGCTTGATGCTGGTGTAAGGTGTGATTCCCAAAAGCATATATAAAATAAGGATTTTTTTTTTAAATTTAATCTTGCGTATTTTAGGTCTATTTTCTCTGCTCAAATGGCCCACAAATGCATTTTTTTATTTCAGGCCGACGCAAAAAGCATATAATATCTTGCTTGACGCATTTGCAATTTCTGGAATGGTGGAGCAAGCACGAGTTGTCTTCAAGAGCATGAGAAGAGACAGGTTAAAAACAATCGTTTTCAAACTATAGATAAACTATAGAATTTCAAATTTACGGATAATTTTTTGCTTTATATGTCAGATATTATATAATATTATAATGGGAATCAACTCTTACTGCAAATTTTTTCATGGTGACTTTATCGGTTGATCGCTTTGAAGTTTAGGAATCATCGGCCATGTATTTTCCAATCATATTAAGATATCGAGGTCGTTAATGTGAGACCTGCATTTAACAAAGATGGAAATTTGAAATTTGATGTCACTTTTCAAAAAGATCGATTATGATTATTGTGAGGAGTTAAAATTTCATCTAAGCTAATTAGGGAAGATAACACTGATTAGCCTACAATACAAATTAATTTTTAAGTATGTAACAATTATCATTTCTTCTATTTGCAGATGTACCCCCGATCTTTTCTCGTACACTACTATGTTATCAGCCTATGTTAATGCATCTGACATGGATGGGGCAGAGAAGTTCTTCAAGAGGATAAAAACAGATGGATTTGAACCAAATGTTGTTACTCACGGCACTCTTATCAAAGGCTACGCCAAAGCAAACGATCTCGAGAAAATGTTGGAGAAATACGAGAGCATGCGTGTGGATGGTATCAAACCCAATCCGACTATATTCACTACGATTATGGATGCTTTTGGGAAGAACAAAGATTTTGGCAGTGCTGTGATTTGGTTCAACGAGATGGTATCTAGTGGGGTATCTCCCGATCAGAAAGCCAAGAATATTCTCTTGTCTTTGGCAAAAACGGCGGAAGAACAAACGGAAGCCAAACAAATTGTGGAAAGTCTATCTTTGGATCGGATTTTGAACAATGTTGAAGATGATGACGTCATTGATGACGATGACGATGATGATGATGTCAGCGGGGTTTCTGCCGATCAGAAGGCAAAGAATATTCCTTCGTCTTTGGCCAAAAAAGTCGTAGAGAGTCAATATGTGGATCGGCTTTTGGATAACGTTGAAGCTGATAATGTTGATGATGTCGATGATGATGACGACAAGGATGATGACGTGGATGATGACGAGGATGATGATGAGGATGAGAGCAGTGTGTCGGAAGATACAAACAGTTGGTCGGTAAGTATTAGCAGCGGCGATCATAATCAGGAACATTTAGTAGAAGTTTTGTGATTTTGAAATTTTAGAAAATTTTGAATTTGTATTGCAACTACTACATATACAAGGCATATAGTGTGCACTTCAGAGTGGAGCCTCCTAGCTAAATTTTGTTACTTGAAATATTTTTTTGTGTAGTGAAATAACAATCTTCTGTTACAAGTTTGGGTAGCTGAAAGTTTATCATTCGATACAACCTATACGCTCTTTTAGGAAATATCGGGATTTCCCAAGAAATCGTATCAATTGGTATCCATAGAGAGGTTGTGATTGTATCGACGCCACACGCAACAAGGTTGAAAATTTGCCGTAAGACGTTTGTGTGATTGACCAGAATATAGGGAGTAACTCGTGCCCTGCAAATAAATCGAACTCGTCTCATTTATTTCCCTCTCAAGCTATAGGGAGTAACTTTCATTAGTTAAAAAAAAAAAAAGATCAATTGCTAATGTAACAATAGGGAGAAATAGGCATAAAAATAAAGGTTCTTGATTACAAATCGCCATCGTCGTTTCATAGCTACAACAGTAGTAGTAGTAGTAGTTCTAATAAAGATACGGATACACCATAAAATATACATCGTATACATGTCTAGCATACAAAGTCCCTAGCGAAGACATAGAAGAAACAAATATCACATACCATCGTGTCCTAAAAAACGGGAAGTAGTACTCACTCATACAAAGGTGTCGTCTACCATTTTTTTTCACTTCAGATATATTAGTGCCCAATTATCAGTATTCAACTGATTCCATACTACCGTTTACGTAGCTTCTAGAATCTTTCCGAGATTACGAAAAATCACGACCCTCCTCTTTGCCCATCTGCTGCACTTCAAGAGGAGATAGAATCTTGATATACCACACACTGTTTACGAATTCCCTGTGATCACGAAAACATACTTCAGGGGTATATTTGTAACTTTTTTTTTTTTGTAAAATATGTATACTAGATTTAAAAATATAATTAAAAAAAATGAAAATAGTGAAAGTGGAAAAAGGTGTACTTAACTGCCACGGATCGTCGCCGAGGAGAAGAATGTCATTCTCCCGGTCAACAAATACAAGCTGCCAGCCTGATCTCTGAGAGTCCTCCAAAAAGCCTTCAAGTCCAAACATACGAGAAAGCTCTCCTCGAAGTTCGTCATAACTGCTAAATTTGGAGATATCGAGCGATCTACCAAACGACCCCGACTTATGAACCTGTACAATAAATTAATATATTTACTTTAGTGAAGACAAATTCTTACTTATACCATAGAAGTCAAATCATGTCGGAAATGAGGGTTTTTTCCTTCTTTTTTTCCCCGTAATTTATTTTACCACTAGGTCAGAAAACACCATAAAAAAACTGTTTTAGAGATTTAATATAACACGGGGTACTAAATGCAATAAACTCGAAACAAATATGTGCTACCAGATAATTTATAAATAAATAAAAAGAACATGCTTACTTCACCTTCACAAAGGCCCTCGAGGTAGGGTCTACATTTTCCGATGATTGCAAGTAACCCGATTCATCCACACAACTCGAACTAGTCATGTCCGAATTTATAGGGAAATCGCCCCCCGCACCATTCACAAATGCAGACGTTGCGTACGCCATCGACAACTGTTCACTCCCATTCCCATTATTATTATTATTGTTATTATTATTCATCACATTACCCGATGAGTACAAACCATTATTATCGTTATTATTATTATTATTGTTACTATTATTATTATTATTATGGGAATGATTCGTCACACTTTGGAAATCCGAAAAATCTCTACCAAGAAACGGCGGCAGCACAGCGGAAAGTTCCGAGCCTTTCGAATGAGGTGTCACCAGTTCTTCCAGATGCGGCACTCCAAAGTGAGAAGAAGTAGAAGAAACCTTCGACGGAATTTGAGGGTCTAATAAAGCCACTCGTTTCGAAGACGAGGAATTAGGTCCGTGCAAGTTCATTATGTGGGAATTAAGGAGGGAATTATTATTCGAAGAAGCAATATTATTAATATTGCTCCCCATGAAATCGGTCAAGTTTTGTATAGGCGTTGTGAACTGAGGAGAATCAGAAGTGGGCCCCATCGGTTTTCTGTTCTGTTGTTGATCTTGAAATTGCTGTTGGTGGTTGTACTGGTTGTATTGGTTTTCCGGAATGTTCTGGAGGAAGCTCTGTTGAGGGACTGATTGGTAATTTTGCATGAGCGAAGGGGCGGAAACGTTGGGGAGGTTTTGCTGGAACTGCATGAGGGGCGAATTGGTAATTTTGGAGGGGTCTAATAACGAACCTGCCTCCTGTAGGGCCATGACTTGGTAAATATCGGGTTGCATGCAGAACATGGAAGGATCGAGCCTTGGTTGCATCCAGTGGGACCCACCGCCGATTCCTTGGAAATTTAGCTGTTGCATCATTCCTTGATCTCCCATACCCCCACGAAGCCACGTGATTGGAGAATTCATGCTCATGTCACCACCGTCTTTAAGACCTGAATTAAATTAATAATTGGAAAATTAATTACGAATTAATCTAAAAGAAAATTATTAAATTTATTCGGATAAATGTTGATAATCCGACCAGGGAATGAGGGCAGTCCAGATGGCCAGGGTCGTTTCATTCGGAGGGAAAATGGAGAAGGGTACATTGGGAAAGTTGTGAGAGGTTCGATTTCCCATAAGGAAACTCTTGGCTGCCTCTCACCTGCAGTCGATTCGTCCCACCCCACCTGAAAAAAAAAATTAAACGCACCCCAATCAACGAATGCACGAGGAATTCGAGAAAACTACACATGACAATGCAAAGTATACATACTAATTCACGCAAACATTCACAGAATGATATGATTATACTCCGTCCTTTTCAAAAGTAAGTGTCGTTTTGGTTTGGTGCGTGGATTTTAGGGAGAAAAAAAGCATACAATGTCACTAAAATACCCTTTTCATTAATTTTATTTTCATTAATTATCTCTCAACTAATTAGAGTAATTAGGGCAAAATTGTTTTAAAAAACGGTAACTAATACATCATTAACAATATGGAACAAGAGAGGGAGTACTTTGTTAGCTTATGATTCTAAGGCTATCTACTAAGAGAATCTTGAACAATGGAGATCATAGTTTGTTAGTCGTTTTCGCCAAAAAACACTATTCATATTTACTTTTCCTATTTCTTGTATGTGAGATATTATGCTTATAATTAAATACTTAAAAAATAATAAAATGTAATAGAGGATACTATGGATAATACTCAAATGTATCATATGCATGAAATAAAAATAATAAATATACATATTTTTTAGAATTCATTCATAGAAATATAGCTAGCTTTATACTTCAGTCTTTAATATTTAACTATAAAAGATAATATAAACAAGTACTTTACTATATTAGATGCATGAAATATAAAATATAAATAATAAATACACATATTACCTTCACCGAACGCCAATGCGAGTTCGGCCAACGAACAGGATCCAAGTCACTGATGCCAGTAATTGTACCCATATACCTAAGACCAAACAAATAAAAGTAAAACAAACATATCAAATGGAAGAAATATTCCTATGAAAACAAATAATAATAATTAACCTACCTACGAACGCTCGATTCTTCAGTTTCAAAGAGCATTCGGAACCTCATACCAACAGAAACCCTCGTATGATAAGCTGATTTGGCGTATTTTGCTAGAGGTATCACAAACTCCGACGGGCTCGCCCTGAAATTAGTTATTAAAAAACAACGCAAAATGAAAAAAAAGGTGCGAGTTAGTTAATAATTAATAACACTAAAAATATAAACGGAAGCTTATAATACCTAGGATTGAAGAAGATAGTGAAACGACTGTTTGTGGCTGCTGCATGCGCAGCTGCAGCAAGAAGACCAATGTGCATGCTGTCACTCGACAGCACCGATGAAGGCATAACAGCTTGAGGTCGATTCGCACGTCGAATTCCTAAGAACAACTGATTGTTTTCGTTCCTAATATATCGCAAAATAAACATCGTCGGGATCGTAATAAATAATAACAGGTGTTGATGATGAAAAATAAAAACCGAGTGTCGTATTTGGTTACCAGATGAAAATTACAGAATCGCCAGCGACTAATCTCTTTGCGCTCACAAACACACTCCATCCCGTCGTGAGGAGATGCCTCTTTGGCTGACCTGGATACAAATACAAATACAAACAGTTCTTTCATTACCAACTTAAGAACGATAGTGCAGTTTTTATACAATGGTTTACAATCACTTGATAATCAGGCATGATTTCAATAATGTACGAGGAGCCTATAAATCGTATAACAGAGTCACAAATTACTTGAAAAAACTTTCGGCATTTCTTTACTTAAATAAAAACGATAAGATAATTAAAAGAGATGACAATATCTACTCAATCAATCAAGAATCGACAAAGAAACATATTTCCTCATCCAACTATCCCCATTTAATCGATAATCATTTGAAACACACTACCAATGCTTAATCTGAGTTGCAATACGATATTATACTTGTGCATGTTACATTCAAAATAACTAAACAAAATTTCCTTCTGTAATAACAATACCGTAAGGCCACTAATTACAAAATTACCCGAGGAAAATCTCTAACATACTGTTTTGTTGTGAACTCACCTCGAAATATGTGCCTGAACTTCCATTCGTTGCCATGAAGATCCTTCGCAATTAGTTCTTGGCAAGGAGGGGTTTGAGAATAATCCTGAACAGGCAACATATATATAAATTAAATATAATATTGCCAAACAGACGGGGAAAAAAATACATTTTATACGTCGGACAAAATAAATAATAATGTGGGACCTACAAGAGGAGGAAAGACTTTCTCAGCTGCTCGGCGAGGCACAGAAAATCCGCCATGTGTACTCGTGTCACTAGCAGTTAATGTTTTACAGAAATAATTCGTCGGCTGTTTGCTCGGGGAGCCGAGTTCTGCTGGCAATAGGCATATATCCTTTTGCTCTTGCTAATCAAAACAGAAAGGAAATTTATTAATTAATTAATTAATGATGAATAAAATGAATTAAAACACGAAATTCGCAAAATAGGAATATGTTTCGAGTGAATTACCGGGGTAAGTGGCTGCAGAGTCATCTGAGCATATACTTCATCCGTTTCGATATCTGCCTGTAACGTTGTAAACATTTAGGCCATTAACATAATAGCAATTACGGAAAAATAAAATCATAAAACGAACTGCAAAAACTTACGTGCATCGTCACATTGTGAAGTTGGCATATTAACTGCGGTTGTAAGCCAGGGTAGTTAGGTATAGCAGCATCTATTTCCTTGTTGGTAGAGGCAGCAACCTATATACAAATTCTTTATTTCCTTGCAGGAAATCGAAAACGTCGAAAAATAACCGAACGGGCAATCGTCTACTAAGATACACTTGATATTCATCTCACATGACTTAACAAAACACGATTTTCACCAACCAAAATTCCCAATACTCCATCAAATTTAAAATCCAGAAAATAAATTAAATATAAATTATCTGCAAACCTGTTCACTATGTCCTTGAGGAAAGTACACAACCCGGCTCCCGAGCAACGGAAGCGAGACCAACGGGCCAGCGCAAGCATGCCATAGCTCCGAATTCAAGCATTTCTTCTCCCCTGCAAAAAAAACCCCAAAATCATATATTTTCTAACACATTAACAAAATAAACCCCAAAAAAATTAAGTAAAAAAAAAAAGGAGAAATTACCTTCTTCCTGCTGAGCATTAGCTCCACTACTAGTGGAAGAAGACGACAACATCATATTCCCACAAAATCCCAATTTCTTTTTTTTTTTTTTTAAATTCTTAATTTAAACAAAATGATATTAATCTGCTCTGTAATTAGAAGGGTTTCTACCAAAGAGGAGTAGGATTCAAACCCATTTAATGATATCCTCTCCCTCCCCGCTCCGGGCCTCCCTCCCACTCCCCCATCCAGATCCAGCACCAAAAGTGCCACCTTTGTTCATCCCAGTTCACAAACACCCCTCAGTCTGCAAGCACACTTTCCTTATTTTGAAGTTGAAATTTGTAAAAAACACACAAAATGGGAGCAAAACTGCGAAACAGAAAACTCCCCGAGGGTATTTAAGCAAATTAAAAAAAAGGGAAGTAGATCTTCGAGTTTTTACAGTAAGATTGGAAAAACCCTAAAGAAGGAAAAGGATGAAGACTGGTCCGAGGAATAAATGAAGTATAGTTTTTTAGTAAGTGGAGAAAAGCAAAGCAAAGCAGCAAGAAAAAAATACGAGTAGTGGCTTTTCTCAACTAAAGAGATCTCTCTCTCTCTCTCTCTCTCTCTCCTCTCTTTCTCTCTCTAGATAGCTCAAATGAACTTCAGATCTTTAATAAGCTTTTTTTTTCCTTTTTCCTTTTTTTTTTTTTTATTTCTTTATGTTATGTGGGAGATATTAAATGTGAGGTAATTTGGGAAAGTATATCAATTATTGCATACTTGATTATATGTTTAAAATGGAATTCCATCTCCCCTTGTAGCCTACTCGTCATTCGTGTTGTGTTGGTAGAGTAAGAAGAGCGTGTCCGTCTGACAATTCGAATTTGTTTATTTCACCAATTCTGAGGTATGGTCAAATTACGAAAAATATCATTTTATCTGGATAATTACAGCCACCTGTCCTTTTAAATAATTTTACATAAAATTTATGTAATTCGGTTATAGACCGAATCAAATCTTATTTTCAGTTCGGTAAACAGAATAAAATGTTGGCGTACCGAAATTTCGGTTCGGTTTTACTGAATTAACATCCATAAATTTACCTCTGGAAGGATATTTTCGTAAGATAATACATAATTGATCGGGGTGACTGTAATTACCCAAACATGAGGAGGGTTCGTAATTTGACCATAACTCAGGGGTGACCGTAATTTTCTCTACTTTTTAAGTTGAACTCGTCATACGCGCGGCAATTAGAAGAGGTGGAATTGTTTATTTTTCAGTCACATATAATATTAAACACTTTATAATATTTTTACTATAATTGTATGTTTTGAGAAGAAAAAAAAATCAGCTTTGGAAATTAAAACCGGATAGAAATTTAGAATATAATGTATATACTTCAATTTTGTTCATAATTCATAATGTAAAATATTGTTCTAAACATTAAAAATATCAGCACCAAAATCGGTGGAGTTCAAAAATTTCAGTGTTGTTTCTACCTCAAGTGAATGTGAGACTAGGTTATTTCGGTACTGTCTCGTAAAAGTTACACTAGGTGAAATTTTTAACGTTGATCACACACATTAATATAGATATGTGTGTGTCTGTGTGCATATGAATGATAAAAATTTAGTGTATTACTGTATTTCACCATTTATTTATTAAAAAAAAGGGGGGAAATAAGGAAAATATATTGAATGTTATATTATAGTAATATAATAGCGGATAACTATATTATTCCCGTTCCTTATTTTAATTAGTAAATCAATTCCAGCATCTTTTCTTTGTGATTCATTTAAATTAATTACATACTTTTTTCTAAAAAAAAATACATATTATTTTTATTTTAAATTTACATGCTTATACGTGTGTAAATAATTAAAATTATAAAATATTTGAACTTAATCGACCACAACGGTAATATTTCAAATTAAAACAGAGAAAATATATTTTATTATTTCAATCTGCGGTAGTATTTAAGTTGAACTGAACATAGTCATTTTTTTTTTTCTAAAAGTACTAAATTTTATTAACTGACGATTTTTATTTTTTTAAATGGTAGTTAAAATAAAGCAAAAAGGTCAATATTGTTTTGCTCCATATTGTCAATAAAATTCAATAAACATATATTTTTACTCGTTTAGTATCTATTACTTTTAGCAATTTAACTATATAAGAAAAATTGAATTTAAACAGACCTAATTAAGTAAGATATTATTTTCGTTTTTCACCGTATCAATTAATCAAAAAAATTAAAAGGACGAAAAAATATAGACAAATAGAAACAAAAACAATAGGCTAGTTTGAATTGACTAGAATGCCCCTCCCATCGTAGGCATGACAATTTGCTCCGCCCCGCTCCAATCCGAAATTCCCCGGTATTACCCGCCCCGAAAAAATATGGGGCGGGGGATCGGGATTGACAAAAAAGCTCGACCAGGTCCCCGTGAAGATTTTACGGGACGGGTTTTGGAATCCCAGTTCATAACGTTCGAGAATGGGATGGGGAATTCCAGAGCGGGACAGAGACGGGGATCGCAAAACCGGGCCCACAGCCATCCCTACCCCATCATGAGATAGATTATTGATCTGATATTGACAACAATTGTATCAACTGAGTTATAGGTAGGTGGCATTATACATTGAATCCAATGTAAAATTCACCAAGTTAAAAAAACATATATATATATATATATATATATATATATATATATATATATATATATATATATATATATATATATATATATATATATATATATATATATATATATATATATATATATATATATATATATATATATATATATATATATATATTTAAATATATATATATATATATATATATAATATATATATATATATATATATATATATATATATATA